GGCGCCCTGCGTGCAGGGGCAGATTCCTGCGCACCCCATCGTGGCGTCAGGCCACGCCTGCCACGCCGTGCGACCCCAACGAACTGCGCGCCCTGTCTGGGTTGCGAAGCGGCGCTGAATACGCAAATGCGGCACGCCGCTGATCGATTTTATACAACGGGTACGATGTTTAACTCCAAAACCCAATGGCGAAAACCCGGTGTAAATATTCATTCTCTGATCGGAAGACGGGTGCATCCCAATGTGGATATGCGACACTGAATGCAAAAATGCCAAGCGCCAGCGCTCGCGCGGCGGCATGCCGCTGATCGATTTTTATACAGCGGGAGCCATGTTGAACTCCAGAACCCAACGGCGAAAACCAAATGTAAAGAATCATTCTGGGATCGGAAGACGGGGACATCCCCCATGTGGAAATGCGACACCGAATGCACAAATGCCAATCGCCAGCGCGCGCGCGGCGGCGGCATGCCGCTGATGGGTTGCATGCAACGGATGCGATGTTTATCCCCCAAGCCCCACTGCGAACACCCAATGTTTAAATTCATTCCGATCGGGAGGCGGGAACATCCCCATGTGGACATGCAGCGCTGAATGCAATAAATGTCGCGCGCGCGGCGGCGGCGTGCCGCTGATATCTATTACGCAACAGGGCGAAATCGCGCGCGCGCGGCGGCGGCGCGCCGCTGACGCGGGAACCACGTTGAACTCCAAAATCACATGGCGAAAACCCATTGTAAATATCCATTCTCTGATCGGAAGACGGGGACATCGCAATGTGAATATGCGACGCTGACCGCATGCCTGCCAAGCGCCAGCGCGCGCGGCGGCGCGCCGCTGATGGTTTTGATGCAACGGGAGCGATGTTTATCTCCAAATCCCAATGGAACCCAATGTAAGCATTCACTCTCTGATCGAAAGACGGGGGCATCTCCATGTGGATATACGGCACTGAGTGCACAAATGCCAGTCGCCAGCGCGCGCGCGCGGCGGCGGCATGCCGTTGATCGACTTTTTATACAACGGGAGCCATGTTGAACTCCAAAAAATCCAATGGCGAAATCTCAACGTAAAAGTTCATTCTCGGATCGGAAAGCGGGGACATCCCCATGTGGACATGCGACACTGAATGCACAAACGCCAATCGCCAGCGCGCGCGCGCGGCGGCGGCATGCCGCTGGTTTTATTCAACGGGAGCGTGGTTGAACTCCAAATTCCATTGCAAAAACCCAATGGTATAATTCATTCCCTGATCGGAAGGCGGGGACATCCCATGTGGATACACGACGCTGAATGCACAAGCGCCAGTCGCCAGCGCGCGCGAGGCGGCGCCGTGCCGCTCGTCGATTCTCATGCAACGGGAGCCATGTTGAACTCCAAAATCCAATGGCGAAAACCCACTGTAAAGATCCATTCTCTGATCGAAAAACGGAAACATCCCCCTGTGGACATGCGACACGAAATGCGCAAATGCCAATCGCTAGCGCGCGCGCGGCGGCGGCATGCCGCTGATAGGTTTTATTCAACGGGAGCGAGGTGAACCCCCAAATCCATGGCGCAAGCCCAATGTGACAATTCATTCTCTGATCGGAAGACGGGGACATCTCCATGCTGACATGCGACATTGGACGCCCAAGTGCCAATCGCCAACGCGCGCGCGCGCGCGCGCGCGCGCGCGCGCGCGCGCGCGCGACGGCGGCATGCCGCGGATAGATGGTATACCGCGGGGGCGAGGTTGAATTCCAAAACCCAAGGGCGAAAACCCAATGTAAAAAAATCAGTCTCTGATCGGAAGACGGGAACATTCCCATCGGCATTTTCCCTGGTGCCGAGGTATACAAGCGGCATCGATCGGTATCCATGGATTTTTTCCAGGGGGGACAGATAACAACAAATAACTTTTCGGATGCGAGTTAATGGCAGTCGGGATACGGGGGGGGGAAGAGGGGAGGGCCATCATGTGTGTAACCGTTTTTAAACATTAAGCACGCCCTGAGCGCTCTGTCCGAATTGCTGGGGGGTGGGAAAGCAAGTAGCACCCCTCACGCAGATCGGCGGGGTCAGGGCCCAAAAACAACGCGGATTTGCCACATTTCTCAAATTCGGTGGCACCCCTCACGCAGATCGGCGGGGTCAGGGTCCAAAAACAAATGGGGATTTGCCACATTTTGAAATTTGCTGACACCCCTCGCGAAGATTGTCGGGGCCAGGGTCCAACAACAAATTGGATTTGCCACCTTTCTGACATTCGGTGGCACCCCTCACGCAGGTTGGCGGGATCAGGGTGCAACGACATAAAGAATTTGCCACATTCTCAAAATTCGTTCGCCCCCCTCACGCAGATCGGCGGGGTCAGGGTCCAAAAACACATTGGATTTGCCACATGTCTGAAATCCAGTGGCACCCCTCACGCAGATCGGCGGGGTCAGGGTCCAAAAACACATTGGATTTGCCACGTGTCCGACATTCGATGGCACCCCTCACGCAGATCGGCAAGCTCAGGGTCCGAAACCTCGAAGGATTCTCAACATTTGCCAAATTCGGTGGCACCGCTCAAACGGATCGACAGGACCAGGGTCCAAAAACACATAGGTTTTGCCACATTTCTGAAATCCGGCGGCACCCCTCACGCAGATCCGTAGGGTCAGGGTCCAAAAACATAAGGGATTTGCCACATTTCTGAAATTCGGTGGCACCCCTCATGAAGATCCGCAAAATCACGGTTGACAGAACAAACAAGTCCCGACAATGCTTCACGGCGGCGTCCAGACCTCATGATTTAGCTTTTGCATCTCCCATTATCCGAGACAGGGGGCCGGCGAAGCCCTTACGGATAAAACTGGTAGTGGTAGCAACTGTTTTTCATATCGAAGGTGGTCGCACTGTAGCAGTAGTAGCACCCCTAGTAGTAGTAGTAGTAGTAGTAGTAGTAGTAGTGGTAGTAGTAGTAGTAGTAGTAGTAGTAGTAGTTGTAGTAGTAGTAGTAGTAGTAGCAGTAGTAGTAGTAGTACTACTACTAGTAGTAGTAGTAGTAGTAGTTGTAGTAGTAGTAGTAGTAGTAGTAGTAGTAGGAGTAGTAGTAGTAGTAGTAGTAGTAGTAGTAGTCGTAGTAGTAGTAGTAGTAGTAGTACTAGTAAAAGTACTAGTACTAGCAGTAGTAACAGTAGTAGTAGTAGTAGTAGTAGTAGTAGTAGTAGTAGTAGTAGTAGTATAGTAGAAGTAGTAGTAGTAGTAGTAGTAGTAGTAGTAGTAGTAGTAGTAGTAGTCGTAGTCGTAGTAGTAGTAGTAGTAGTAGTAGTAGTCGTAGTAGTAGTAGTAGTAGTAGTAGTAGTAGTAGTAGTACTAGTAATAATAATCATAGCAGTCGTAGTAGTACTAGTAGTAAGTGTGGTAATGGTCGTAGTAGTAGTAGTAGTAGTCGTCGTAGTAGTAGTAGTAGTGCTAGTAGTACTAGTAGTAGCTGTGGTCGTAGTAGTGGTAGTAGTCGTCGTCGTCAATGTAGTCGTAGTAGTACTAGTAGTCGTCGTAGTAGTAGTAGTAGTAGTAGTAGTAGTAGTAGTAGTTCTAGTAGTAGTAGTAGTAGTAGTAGTAGCAGCAGCAGCAGCAGCAGCAGTAGTAGTAGTAGTAGTAGTAGTAGTAGTAGTAGTAATAGCAGTAAAAACAGTAGTAGTAATAGTAGTAGTAGTAGTCGTAGTAGTAGTAGTAGTAGTAGTAGTAGTAGTAGTCGTAGACGCAGTCGTAGTAGTAGTAGTATTATTATCGTGGATCCACGAATGAGCTCTGCCACAAGAGTGGTAACAATTATAATGATATAAAGCGGCTCATTACTTGGTAGCCGCACTAATACGGAAAATCCTAAAGCGAGTCAGAATAGTGATGCTAGTCATGATAGTCGTGATCGGAACACAGTGCTCGTAGATAGCAGTAATTCTTGGAATGCGGATGCTCTTCGCATGAGTGGTACAAATAGTGATCATGGTGGTGGTAATGAAAGTCTGTGTGGTCGTAGTCGTAGTCATAATGACGGTGGCAATGGTAGTAGTAGTAGTCGTAGTGGTAGCAATGGTACACACAATCGTGAAAACAATATCAAACAGCATCACACCAGTAAGAGTAGCACTGGTAGTGGTAGTGGGGGTAGCTTATGCACACCATAATCGTTTTTGTAGACGACCGTGCACGCGCACACCATAGTGCCGATGTACACCCAACAGCTTCTGCGTGCACGTAAGCGCCTCTGTAAAACACAACGTTTGCGCCACCAGAGCAGCAGAACGCACCTCAACGTCTGGCGCCTGCGTGTACCACAACGCCTGTGCACACCACGTGGCCTGCGTGCAACCCCAAAATCTGGACGCGGTCCAACCTCTGGAAAACCGTGATGGACCCCAGCCTATCAAGTTCAACATGTCAATCATATTTGTGGCTCTTGATGTTTCTGGCCCGGGACACGGTTGCTTGTCTTCTGGGCCTGCAGTGCATGCGTACGCCATAAAAGGCTGTATACACCAAAACGTTTGCGGACAGTGAAAACGCCTGTGCGGACAACAACGTCTGTACTCACGCCCATGCCAAGTTCCTCTGAGCAGCGTGCCATACTGCGTCCAAGGCGCCTGCCGAGTCCCCCGAAAATCTACACCCCCGGCGATGGTTTAGATACATACCCGCCTTGGACTGCTGGGCGGCCCGACATGTGGCACCAACACCCACACCAGGGTTGCCTCCACCAGGGCAAGATTATCCTGAATCTCGGTGCTGGCGGTAATTTCCTGACCTTCCACGAAATCCGAGCATTACCACCATCACCGAGATCGGGATCATCTGCCTTCGGTGGGGGCAACTGCCGAAGCTGGTGTTCGTGCCAACCTCCAAACCTCCGAGGTCGGGGGCCAGAGGCCCCAGCGCGCGCGGGGCGGGGGGGCCGCGCGCGCTGGTGGGAGGTCGAGGCCAACCGTCCGCAAGCAAGCAGGTCCGCGCAGCCCGCGCGCTCCGGCTGGGGCTCAGGCGGCCTCGGCTTCCGACGGCGGGCTGCCCTGGCCGCCGGGGCGGGGCGGCCAACCCAGCGACCCGCATCTCCGCAGAGAGCAGTCCAGTCGAAGCACGGCCACAAGAGCTTGGGTCAGGAGCTCAAGACCCTTCGCCGAAGCCCAAGGCCCCATGGAGATACCCCAGACGAAACACATTCCAAGGTGGAAAACCCAGACCGACGAACATCCGCCGCCGTGCCGCTGGGCACGGAGTGGGCGTGTCCTCGGGTCCTGTGCCTGGTCCCTGGAGCCCCAGTCCTCCCCCCCCAGCCCTGAGGAGTGTTTGAAAGGGCCCAGACCCACAATTCCGACATTTAGCGGGCCTTCCCCCGGTACCCTTGGGCTCCCCCGCGCCTCCCCGCGTGACTCTTTCGAGCCCAGGAGGGCCCGAAGACGGGCCAAGAGGGCACCCATGAGGCGCCCGAGGCGGTCAAAGAGGGCCCGGAGTCGCCGAAATATTGTCCCAAGACGCCTAAGATGGCCTGAAGATGGTCAAGAGGTCTCCAAGACGCCTCCAAGAGGCCAAACTCATTGAGGTTCCTCACGTTGTTTAACGATTTTGACGTTCTCACCTCTTCGGCTTTCCGACGCTCCAAGAATGCCCAATAAGCCCCAAGATCACCGCAAAACGGTCCAAGAGACCTCCAAGAGGGCCCCAATAGACGGCCAAAGAGGCGCCCAAGACGGCCCAAGTGGGCCCCAAGACAGCCCCAAAAAGTGCCGCAAAGAGGGAGCACGAACCGAAAATCCAAGCCTGCCGCCCCAAAAGGCCTAGGAGGCCCCAAGAGGCGCCCAGGAGGCCCCAAGAGGCCCTCAAGAGGCCCCCGAGAATCCCCAAGAACCCCCCAAGAGGCCTAAAGGATGCCCCAAGAGGACCCAAAACGGCTCCTAAGAGGGCTACAAACTGTTCCCCAAAGGCCCCCCCGGAGAGGCCTCACACGAGATCCCAACGAACATCCAATAGGCTTCATACCCACAACCCAAACACGTGCGCGGGATGGGCCGCAGGCCATTAGATAAGGGCACCGCTGGGGAGCCTGGGTTCTTCCTCATCCTCGTACCAGCTGTAATACTCCATCACCATGCCCTGCCACGGCCGTCCTGGGCCCTAGATCGGTCGTGTCTGTGGTGTAAAATTGCCTTCTGCGGGGACGGCTCTGGGTCTCTGAGGGGTGTGGCACTGAGGGGCCACTCTCAAGCCCAACACCTACACAAACCCGCTCATATACAGTTGTGAGTACCGTGATTGTGAATAGATATCGTCTTCAGTGAAGCTCTGCATGGGGCGGCGAAACGTCTGAGGGGTTGTGCCAACATGGGCGAGGGGACCGCATGCGAACTGTGCTACTGGGGCCTTCGCTGGAGCTCCAAATGCGGCCACGAAACGTGTGAGGGGTGTGGCAAAATGGGCGGCGGAGACGCACGCGACACTGCCACTGGGGCCCTGGGTGGCGCTCTCTATGGGGTCACGAAACGTGTGAGGGGCGCGCCGCAATGGATGGGAGAAACATACGAACCCTGAAACTGGGATCCTGGGTGGAGCTCCAAATGCGGCCACGGAAAGTGTGAGGGGCGTGCCGTATTGGATGGAGGAGACGCGCACGAACACTACAACTGGGACCCTGGGTGGAATTCCATATGAAGACACGAAACGTGTGACCGGTGTGCCGTTACGGGCGGGGAGACGCATGCGAGTTTTGTCACTAGGGCCCTTGGTGGAGCTCCCCAAGGCGGCCACGAAACGTGTGGGTCCTGCTGTAACGGTCGGCGGCCGGGGGAGAAGCATGCGAACCCTGCCACTGAGGCCTTGAATGGAACTCCCTATGGAGCCACGAAGCGTGGGCGGGTAGTGCCGTCATGGGCGGGGGAACGCAAGGAAACCCTGCCACAGGGGCCCTTGGTGGAGCACCCCATAGGGCCACGTAGTGTGTGATGGGCGTGCCGTTACGGGAGGGGGAGACGCACTCGAACTCTGCCACTGGGGCCCTGTGTCGAGCTCCCTATTGGGCCACGAAGCGTGCGAACGGCATGGCATCATGGATGGGTGAGACGCATACGAGCCCTGCCACTGGGGCCCAGGATGGACCTCCCTATAAGACGTCAAATCGTGTGATGGGCGTGCCGTACTGGGGAGACGCACGCGAACCATACCACTGGGGCCCTTTGTGGAGCTCCCTATGGGGTCACAAAGCGTGTAATGGGCGCGCCGCTATGGGTGGGGAAGGGGGGACGCACACCAACCCTGCTTCTGGGGCCATGGGTGGAGCTTCCTATGAGGTCACGAAACGTGTGAGGGGCGTGCCGTAATGGCTGGAAGAAGCGCATACGAACCCTGCCGCTGGGGGCCTGGAGGGAGCTCCCCACCAGACCACGAATCGTGTGAGGGGCGTGCCGTGATGGGTGGGGGAGACGCATGCGAACAATGCCAAGGCGGCCCTGGGTGGAATTCCCCATGGGGACACGAACATGTGAGGGATGTGCCGCTATGGGCTGCGGAAACGCATACGAGACGTGCAACTGGAACCCTGGGTGCAGCTCCATCTGGGGCCACGGATGGCATGAGGGGCGTGCCCTAATGGATGGGGGAGACGCATGCGAACCCTGGCTCTGGGGCATTGTGCGAAACTCCCAATTGAGCCACGAATCTTGTGAAGGGTGAGCCGTAATGGGCGGCGGAGACACAAGAACCCTGCTACTGGGGCCATAGGTGTTGCTGCAAATTGGCCACGCAACGTGTGAGGGACGTGCCGTCATGAGCGGGGGAGGCGCATACGAGCCCTGCCACTGGGGCACTGGTGGAAGTCCCTATGGGGCCCTGGGCGGAACTCCCTAACAAAGCCACGGAAACATGTGACCGGTGTGCCGTACTGGGCGGGGGAAACGCATGCGAACCCTGCCTCTGGGGCCCTGGGTGGAGCTCTCTATGGGGCTACGGAACGTGTGATGGGAGTGCCGTAATTGATGGGGGGGCGCATATACAAACCCTGCAACTGGGACCCTGGGTGTGGAGCTCACAGTGGGGCCACGGAACGTGTGAGGGGTGTGCCGCAATGGTCATGCGGAGGGCAGAGGCAGGGATGGGAGGAGGAAGGAGGGGGAGGAGGAACGAGGAGTGAATGCGGGGCGCTGTCTCCTCAAAACGAGGACCCAGGTCCACAGCATGGTTGGTAACTACTCCCTGCTAAGCGGTTGGAGGGGTCCAGGAGGCCGTGTCAGGACAACCACGTGACGTCGGAGCAAGCGAGTTGGCGTCACCGAGTCGACAAGCCGAGTCAGATCGGCGAGAGCATGTGATCGGCAAACATCGGCTGGGAGTGGACCGCGGCATCGAGTCCCCGGATCTTTGAGGTCGTGTTTTTCTATCGACGTGTAGGCCCTGGACCACCACCACTGCGAGAATAATTGTTGGCTGGTCCGCCGGGGCCTGGAGCCCCCAGGGATAGAAAATGGTGTGCGTCTTTTGATGCGCTCCCCCTCGCTCGTCGCTCCTTCCTCCGTTACCCTCATCCTCTTCTATTCTCCCTCACCTCCACGTCCTTCCTCCCACCTGATCCTTCTCAACCCCCCACCCTCTCTTCTCCCTCTCTCCCCTTCCCTCCTCCTCCTCCTCCTCCTCCTCCTCCTCTTCGGTCCTTCTCTCTCCTCTTCCCTCCTCCTCCTCCTCCTCAGTCCTCATACATTCCCCTTCCTTCGCCTCGAACCAACCTCCTCCCCCCCTCTGCTGCATGATTCCACGCCTTCTCCTCCAGTCCGATGTTTTTCGTTGCCGTGCGTCTCAGATATGCCAATGCTCTTTCGGCCCCTTGTGTCCTGTATAGGTGCTAAAATCTGCTACTCGGATGCCCCCATGTCTACCATAATGAAAACTGCACGGGATCCCAGCACACTTCCGGGATGTTATTATGGCCATCTTAAACGTGGAAACACCGTCGCTTCCGATGAAGAAATTCGCCCTTCGTGCAATCTCGAAATCAATAACGGCACCTTGAATCTTCGAGCCCTCCAAGCCCGCTTTACGCACCGCGTCAGAGCCTCCCAACTGCAGCGACAAGTTTGGCCAGGGTGCCACTCGCCGCTCCAGCATCGACGCTTCTTCGGGCTCAGTAACGTCCGAAGCCATGACGCACATGTAGAACGAATCTGGACGCGCAATGCACGGGTGCGAGGCCTTCCTAATCATGCCGTATATCTCGGGCAGGGGCACGCGGTTCTGCCAGAAAAATGATGGGATATCCTTAGCCCTCAGATCGTTCTCGATACGTGCATGGAGAACTCCATACACACCTGCTGGTCGCACTGCTTCCACCACCTTCGATCCGCCGCCATGCCTTGAGGCACGCTGGGGCGTGATCGAAAACATGCCCGTCAACTGCCTGGCTGGGTTCGCCCAAGCCTGTCGCGGCATGAGCCTCCTGAAAACCGCACCCAACATGTTGCTCCTCAACGCTCTCTTCGGCCCTTAGAGGCCCCCAGACTGCCTGCAATCCAAGTCGGCCCATCGACCCCACAAAGGTCCAAGATGTTCCCAAGAGGGCCCGAGGGCCTCCAAGCAACCCCCCAGAGACGCCCAAATAAACCTCCAATGGGGCCCGAAAAGGTCAATCGCAATGTCATCCATTCAAGGGGACTCCGAGATCCGTGCAAATGGCTCAAAGGTGTACCCTTCGGGACAAACGGCTCCGTCCACAAAAACGCGACGCGACAACCATGTAATGTTAGCGCTGCGGTAGTCTAGAGTCTAGAGCCGCTTCCAAGACAACCCCTTCTACAGAGCCTGTTTGGAAGCCTCTCGATGCTGCGCCGACACGGTGGCGGGCTTTGCCGCAGGCAGCTGGACAGACTGGCCGAAGGTCGCAAAGACTCCCAGAAATAGCACACGAACCTATCTTCGCTCGTGTCGGTGCCCACGCCTCCCCAATCGGCCCTTGAAAAACCAGCTACAAAAGCATTCGTAGGCCTAACAAAAACGTTGGCTTCAACTGCGAGAGTTATTAGGGGAATCCTCAACGGTCTTTTTTTCAACGCTCTCTCGTTCCAGTGCGTGATGTTGAACAAGTCGGCGAAATTCACAGTGTTCCCATTTGTGCAATTTGGACACGAATCCCAACCAACATGGAACTTCAAACTATCCGCTGACAAGTGCCGGATGCCCTTTTGGTTGGCAGCGAGAACGACACCGAGCAGGACTAACAACTGATTTACCAAACCATACTGGGGTGGATATCCAAGTCCTTTCACCACGCCCGCAATCTTCTCTCCTTCATGCGGTCTGGGACCCAGATCCGGCTTCGACGGTCCAGAGGTGACCATAGCCGGCGGCCCAGAGGCTGTTCGATTGTTGCGGTAGGTGCCCACAGCCAGCGGCGCAGGGGTGACTTGATTGGTCTGGGAGGTGCCCACAGCGGGCGGTCCAGAGGCTGCTCGATGGCTGCGGGAGGTGCCCGCGGCCTGCGGCCCAGAGGTGTTCTGACGAGTGTTGAAGGATGTGGCCTTGTTCGGTGGATTTAAGAGTCCAGGACCTGGGGACTGGTTTACACACTTCACGTCGCGATACATCGAACGCACCTTAAAACGGTAAGGATGCAGTGCGACATCGCGGTAAGGACAATCAGTGACCATGATGCCTTCCAACGACAACAACGAGGCGATGCCCATTGCACATGTGACACCGGCTCCCACACCGACACCTGCTCGACACCCAACCGTCATGACGTACAATAACAAGCTGTACAGCCACGAAGATCACGGATCGGTCATCATGTACAACAAGCTAAACATGTGGAGCGCTACACTTGTAAACTCAAACGCCCCCAGTGTCGCCATCGAACAACACAGCCCTGAGACGAACCGGCTACGGACTCCCTCCGCTCTGCTTTGAAGGGCGAGCGGCGCAACTGACCAGCAGCAGCAAATTGCTGACTTCAAGTGCGCAACATACAGTTGTTGATCACTTAGTCGGGATTGACAGGAGAAGAAACGTTTTTTTTGTTGTTGAAATAATGACGCCGTCAAGAAACGCGGCCGGCTAACGAGCAACGGGCTAAATTTGACAAAAAAAAAAAACGCACAAGAGCGAGTTTCGCTGCGGCACAAGCGGGGGGCCTAGCGGAGTCACAAGTCGATGCGCAGCACCAGAATGGCGAAATTCATGAAGTCCACGTACGCGCGGACGACGAGCGGGCGTGCAGGCGCTCAACGGAGGGGTTCCCGATCGCCAAGAGGGGGGCGGGCGGGAGTGGCCACCACGGGCAAGTCGCAGGCCAGAAAGCCCAGGGGCACTCCGAATAGAAGGGGCATGCAGGTCATCCTCAGGGCGCCCAGGATGGCCGCGAAGACACGGGTCGCGAAACACAAAAAGCAAAGGGCACCCTCGATTTCGCAGGGACGACCTACTAATCAACCTCGACTGTACGCTGCTCCGTCTCGAAAACAACCACATTGAATTGATCGTCTTTGCTCGGGCGCACGCTAACATTCGTTAGTGGTCCGTGGATATGGTGCGTGGGCGCCAGACCCATGGGTCGTGGAAGGCACTCCCGACGCACGAGGCCAGTGCCGCCTTTTTCGGCGATAGCGCGCGCCGACTCTGCATGGAGACGGGACACGCCGCTTCGCTCGATTCGAAGCACTACGGCGGGCGGCGGCAAAGGGGCGCCTCCCCCCCCCTGCTGCTGACGACGACGGGGTGGGGCCTTCCTGCCCGGGCCGCCGCCGCTGCTCCCCCGGTTTCCTTCGGGGGGCCGTCTGCCAAGGATTTTTCGGTGCGAGACCCAGCCGTGGCGACGACGGGAGCCCCAGGAAACCCGGACTGGTGAGCGCACAAAGGACCGCCCTCCATCCCTCGAACTGCTGCAAACTTCTGCAACGAACACGCGCGGCGCCGAAACGAGAGCCGCATTGTGAAAACGGACCGCCATCCGTCCTTGAATATGTTGCAACTGTCACGCTTCTGGATCACGAGTGGTCAGGAAGTCTCAGGCGAAATGCCGTCCATGTACGCTCACCAAAAAGGTGAGCGCATAGGGACAGCAACGATACTGATTTGCCCCTGACGAGGAACGGCGGCTAGGATCCCCCATCCTCAGAGAGGAAGCGGACATGGAAGGACGAGGGTGGGACAGGAGGAAGAAGGAAAATCGCGTGGTGGCAATTGGCGCCATAATGTGAAGGTGAAGCAGTGTAAAAGTGTGGAGGTACGTTGGGCCCCTCCCAGCAGCCGTCTTCGTTGGCCGAAGGAGTGCAGGGAGGTCCTCGGCCCCCTCCGGTGGCAATTGGCGCCATCATGAAAAGGTGTGGGTGGGGAACCCACGCAGCCCCTATGATGGAAGCTGCGCGGGGTGTGAAGCCTATGATGGTCCTCGCGGGTAAGGCCAAGAGACGGTCCTCACCCAGGAAGGGGGGGGGCGAGAGGGAGGGGGGCGCGCGCGCGCGTCGAGGTGGTTCCTGATGACAGTCCTGGGGGGGATACCTGAA